GGGAAAGACATTATGCCTTTACTAACACCAGTGCCTTTGTGTTTCTGTCTTTGCAGTTATCCCAGCCATTTGTTTTTGTTGTTGTTGTTTTTTAAGCACAGGCTTCGTTGCTTAGAGACATTAGCAAGATCAGTGAAATGACCATTTTAAAAAGCTGTTTCAGGCTGCTCTGTGTGAAAATTGTCCTCATTCCCATTTATAATGATGTATCTGTGATATCTATAAAAATTTTTCATTGTATACATAGACTAGAGGCTCAGTGCATGAAATTTGGGCATGGGTAGGGTCCCTAGTGGCTGCTAGCCGGGGTCTCCCTTCCCCAGGCCGTCAACCAGGGGGGAGAGGCCACAGGCGGTTGCCCTCCCCACCCCCCCCCGTCAAACTCCCAGTTGAGCTCCCAGTCAAGGGGACAGTTTGCATATTAGACTTTTATTATATAGGTCTAGAGCCTGGTGCACAAAATTCATGCATGGAGGTGGGAGGGAGGTTGTCCCTCAGCCCAGCCTGCACCCTCTCGCAATCCAGGACCCCTTGGGTAGGGTCCCTAGGCCTATCGGGCTTTCCTTCCCCTGGCTGCCGGCAGCTGGCCATGCCCCCAACACTGCTTGCCATCTGTGCGGTGCTGCCTCTCTCCCCCTGTCACCGGTCACCTCCCTCTGTGGGCAACAGGCGTAGGGTGTGATTGTTTGGCTGGCCTGGGCCCACCCTCTGTGGGGTGATTGCTGGCCGCCCCTGCACACCCGCCACAGCATCGCTGGCTGGTGGCCTGGGCCTCCATTTGTGGCGTGATCGATCACGGGGCTCCTCGATGGATCACCCAGCAGAGGGAGGCCCCACCCACCTAGCCAGGGCTCCGTGATCGTGCAGCCCCCGCCCCCATTGATTGCCCTCGCACCAGCGCGTGTCATAGTGTGGTCGTCTGAAAGGTCATTCAGAGGGTCGTTCTGCCATTCGGTCGTTCTGTCGATTGGCATATTACACTTTTATTATTATAGATGGTAGAGCATACTTAACATTAAAAGTCTCAACTTATCGTGACTTTTTCTGCCTTTTCAAAATAGCTCAAGGAAGCTTAGGAGAATCCCACATAATTTTCTCAGATAGCTAAATCTCAGAATAGAGTGAGGTTTAGTTATGACAAGAATACAGCTTAATGCAGTGACTAATAGCCTCTCTTGGGCATTATTCAGATTTAGCTTTAAATCTAATTCAGTAATTCTGTTTGAAAAACAGATAAGACATAGGGCACACATATAAAAAATGGTCCGGGTCAGCTTCTTGTTGGCCTAGTAGTAACTCTTCAGAGAGCAAATGAATTTCTCAAGTTGCAGTGACTTTGACTTTTGCTAGTTAAGACTATTGACTACCTATCTGATTACATGTTCTAGTAGATTTCAGTGCACATTCTTCATGTAGTCGCCATCCTTAAAGAAAACATGCTTTTTGTATTATCAGCAAACTTGGAGTCCAGTTCAAGACCATGCTTCTGATAAGGTGAAAGGAACAGGGCTTAGCACTAAGTAAGTCCTTAGGAAATATTTAGTAGAGGAACAAATTCCGTGATTCCTCCCACCCACGTAAGCAAGATTCTAGGTATCTTTCATAGTTAGCAAGGAAGGATAATAGTGAAAATAATTCAGAAAATAGAGGCAGGTAGCTTATTAAACACTATGTGTTGTGTTTTTTAAAGCAGTCCATAATAAAATACCCTGTGTTATAATAGACCTGAATTACCATATTTAAATTGCACAGAAAATTATTCTCTTTAAGAATACTATTTAAATGTTGTGTCAGTGAATTTTTTGAAGTATTGGTTATACTTGTTGGAATATAGAGTGCTATGGAGCAAAGGTATACTATGTTATTTATAAATAAGTCGCTTTTTAAAAGTGACTGGTAACAGATAATTTATATTTACTAGTTAAAAATAAAGATAGGAATAAAAGCTTTGATCTTAAGATATTCTTCCATTGAATCTCCTTCCAAAAGTAGTTTTCCCCTTAGTTTGCTCTTTCACTTTTATTCATCTTCCCTCTTTTGGCTTTTTCCTGCCCTTTTGACTTTGGCAGTAACATAATGGTATCTTTGTACTTTTATGGTCTGTTGGGAGGAATAGTAGTCGATTGTTTTTTTGTTGGTTTTTTTCTCTCTAATAAACATGGTTCCTGCTTTGGGACCTACTGGGGAAATTTTGAAAGCTAAGTGAGAATCATTGCTAGCTAATAAACTTCTATGAGCTTTCACTCTTTTTACTTGAGTTCATATTTTTGACCGTTAAGCGTTTTCCAAGTCATGCTTTAACCAGATCTCTTATTTTATATGCTTTCTTCCTTAGTAGACTGGGTTAAGGTTACATTAGAAGAGCCAGATAACTGTGAACAGTGTAGATTTATAGTTAATTTTCTTGTGTATTTATTTACACTTTTCTTCCTGATAGTTTTGGAATAATGAGAAAATAATTTCCAGAATAGATATTCTTAAATTATGGTGAGAACGTTCTGAGAAAGAGCTAAATATTATAATTTTAAATAAATATTATCTTTTCTAAAAAGTATATAAAACTGCATTTTTTATTATATATTTAGTTACTATTGCCTTTGTAGGTAGTCTAAGGTTTGTATGTACCAAAGTTCCATAAGTAAAGGACGGTGTCTTCCTATTTTACTGCTGCATCCCAATGCCTAGAATGGTATCTAGCATGTAGATGCACAACAACTATTTGGGTGGATGTATGTACAGATAGATGAGCAAATGTCAAACTAACTTAAAGCCTAAGTTATTATGGGTTATGGTATTGAATGCACAGAATTTTTAGAATAAAATGCCATGTATGGTGGATTACATAATTCTAATTTGGTTTTTAAAGTAATTGTTGTGCCTGGTCTAGTCCAATCAGGAGTATTTTAATTTAAAAATAACTCTTTGACCTAGTACAGTGGTCGGCAAACTCATTAGTTAACAGAGCCAAATATCAACAGTACAACGATTGAAATTTCTTTTGAGAGCCAGATTTTTTAAACTTAAACTATATAGGTAGGTACATTGTTCTTAACTTAATTAGGGTCCTCCTTAGACTTAGGAAGAGCCACACTCAAGGGGCCAAAGAGCTGCATGTGACTTGCGAGCCGCAGTTTGCCGACCACGGACCTAGTAGAAGCTTTGAGAGATTAAACCAATATATCTCTGTGGGTTTTGATGGTTTTTTTCTTTCGGGTTTATTTAAGGCCTTCTGGTAAATGGTTAAATATGTAAAAAGTTTTAAGTAGGCTTACAATTTTATTCTATAATTTTCTCTGCAGTTTCTTCACTTTAATATTAATTAATGCTTATTTCTAGTTGAGCTGATAACATTCTTCTCCCAGATGTTGCAGAGCTTTTAACCTTCTCTGGTTAGAACTATTTTAGGAAGTAGCCTAGAAACAGAAACATGTGAAATTTTAAGAGTAATATTTCTTAAAGAGAGAGAGATTTTTTAAATTCAGAATCTCTAAAGTGAATTTTTCTATTATATTTAGTCATTCAATGTTTATTTTTAATCAGTAGATTTTAAATTAAATGCCAGCTATTGAAAAAAGAACTTTAAGTCAATTGAAGGATACACAGAGAAGTATTTTATATCAAGAAAAAAATCATGTAGACATGTTTTAATTTGTGATCTATTTGTAATCAATATTTCCTATAAAATTTATATCAAAAGGTAGGAATTAACTGAAATGTAAATATAAATATCCTCAAATCCACTTGGGGAGAGCTTTTCTGTGATTTATAGCCAGAAATAGTAGATATGATTATCTCAACATTTCTTGCTCTTTATTTAGTGCTTTGGCTTAAAAATGTATTAAAAATTTAAATCCAGAAATAAAATTCATCCCTCTAAATTCAGTTGATTTATAATTTTTTGTTGATTCCATTTGTGTTACATTGATCGTGTAATTTTATGTACAAGCCAACATTGTTTTTGTTGCTGTATGTAGTTGGTGCTGTGACTTGTTTGTGCTCATCTCTGTTCTGTAGGCAACTTGCCACTCCCTACTGAATAAAGCTACAGTAAAAGAAAAAAAGGAAAACAAAAAATCAGTAAGTTTGGAGAACTTTTTATTAGCTGTTTCTTTCAAAGCAAAACCAAAATCTTTTGCTGTTTGTTAAGAACATCTTCACTTCAGCCTATTTGACCTCCACTGTAAAATCATTCTACTAATTCTGGCACAAAATAGCTTTCATTTCAATTAACCCTGGAATTAAGTTACATTGAAACATTCTCTGTGTTCCTTTGGTTTGATTTATCCCAAAGGCATTTTGGGGGTATTTGTTACATTGGATATCTCTGGTTTAATTTTATTATTGTTATTTTTAAAAATCGTAAATGAATGCAAAAGAAACTTAATTTCAAGGCCTTAGGAAATGCTGACTCTCTTCATTCTTGCTTCTTATTTGAAGTGATGTGAGTGGTTTCTTTTTCTAGAAATGAAAGTATTTTTTAATTGATAGAAGTATATGGAGGGAAGGTATCACTTTCTAAATTTATCTAAAAAAATAAATAAATAAAAGTTGCTAAATTTTAATTTTTACTTTTGATATTTTTATCTAGACCATCCCAGCCAGAATTTAGATATTTGTGCTTAGATTATAAAAATCTTAAAAACCACTTTTACCTTAGAGAAAATCACTATTAAACTATTGGAACTGAGAACATACTACTTTGGAAATAAAGGAAAACTCATTGAGTCTATATTTGTAGAGAAATAGCTCATTTTGCAAACATGATATGAATATACTTCCTGCTACTATGAATTTGCCTAATTTAAAAGGAAGAAAATTAGGGTAATCAAGATTATTTTCTTCCCATGAGTGAAATTTATCCAAAATACAACATGCGTTCATTTAAAATTTGCCATTATCTGTCAGCATGACTTATCCAGCAGGCACTATATTTGTACATATAATCTAATAATTCTAGAGAAATAGGTAAAGGAAACCTTTAGGTAGTTAGCTTAAAAAGGTATAATTTAGAGTGTATATCTGGTTTCATCTTTCATTCTGTGTTTAAGCTTTCCATATAATAATAAATTTCTGTTTTAAATTCAGAACTAAATTAAAATTTGGAAACATATGCTTTCATATCCATTTAGTATTCACTTTATGTTAAGTAAATTTGACCAGCTGTGAGAAAATGAATTGGGTTGGATGGCTATCTTGCTTAATAAAAACATTTCTTTCTAATGCTTCCGCCTTCTAATTCTCAGCATACATGGGCTTAACATAATATACACCATCATTGTTGAAATTAATTTGCTGTTTCTAACACTCTTGTTTAGTGTTTTACTAATGCCATTGTGTAGTGTATCACATAAATTAAAATTCAGGCTTTCTGTGTTTCTATCTAGAGCATGTTTTTTAGCCTTCCTAACATTGCTTTATTTATTAAGATTTGTCTAAAATTGTTTCTTGAAAGGTGTGTTGTTTTTTTCCTACTAGTGTTATTTTCAGATTTTTTTGTTTAAGTGTCTTGAGTGACACCAATTTTGGATTATGTTTCTCAGCACAGGTGATATGAGGTCCTCATGGAAACAAAGGGGATATAATTGGTAATTTGAGATATTTTAGAACATGTTCCAAAGTATGAAGACAGTATAGTCAATATAAATTTAAAATGTTGATTTATGGAGTTATGGCTTAACAGACTCTAATGATCTTTTAAAAGCAAGCTTTCTTTTGGGGTATGTTTTTCATGGATGGGAATATGTAAAATATATAGAGAAGATTCTGGTTTCTGCCATGTAGCTGTATAGTAGTGTTATAGGAAATTCTGTTTCTTATACTCAAATATATAATGTATAATTGAGAAGTTAATTGCCTCCCTAACTCAGGTAATTAAATATGTAGAGGTAACAATCCTCTTCCTGATATATAGTTTATGACTGCATTTATTTGTAACATGTAGTTCAGTTTTCATTAAGGGGGAAAAGTCGACATTTGATTGAGAACTGTTCCAGCATACAGGCTGGCCCAAATTTGACCTTTATGCAGAATATCTTTTGGATCCAAATTAGATTTTTACAGATTAAGAAAACAAATGAGTATATGTATATTATGAGGTAAAACTACATTGGTGTTAATTAGTGGTGAAAGAAAGAAATATGTATTGATACTGATATTTTAACAGGTTTTAGTTTTAAAATCTAGTGATACTATCATCAGTGAGAAACATAATTAGATGATACATGAAATAATGTGTGTTTCTGATGTGTGGATTCTTTGAGTTTTGAAATGAATTATTTTTGGAGATGTAGAAGATAATGAATGTGTAGTACTTTTGTATATTCTCCTTTTGGGAAGTAATTTACTCAAATTTTCATTAAATTCTGAGACTGAGTAGTATTAAGTATAAATCAGGTATAAATGTGAGTCATATGTTAAAACTTCTTTGTCCTAGAGCAGTGGTCGGCAAACTCATTAGTCAACAGAGCCAAATATCAACAGTACAACGATTGAAAATCTTTTGAGATCCAAATTTTTTAAACGTAAACTATATAGGTAGGTACATTGTTATTAACTTAACTAGGGTACTCCTAAGGCTCAGGAAGAGCCACACTCAAGGGGCCAAAGAACTGCATGTGGCTTGTGAGCCGCAATTGCTGACCACGGTCCTAGAGAAAACCAGTAAATAGCTACTTTCAAAATGTATTTAAAAAGAACTCTCCATGTGCATGTAAGTTATTGATTTTGTAAAGACACTTTCATAGCAGGTTAGTATTTTATAAATTAACTGGTTCTCTGGAAACCAAACTATATCTTTTAGCTTTAAAAAACCATTTCAGGATTGATTTTAATTGATTAAATGTAATATATATTGATTTTAAAATAACAACAACCTACTTGAAGTTGAATGTAAAGCAGTTTTTAATCCTCTTCTTGCTAACTCACTCCTTAAAGGCTTTAAAATTTTGTAGGTTTGTTGACATGTTTCTTCTGTTTTAAAATTAAATTTGGAGGGTTCTAACAGAACCTCTCAGTAGCTGTGGTGGTCTGTGTATACTCTGAAACGGTGTGGAGAAGTTTGTCTGTGTTTAGGTATATGTTCATTTTTTCCTGTTCTTATTCTTTCAATGGTTAAACACTGTACTAGAGTGTGAAAGCACTTGAATATTCTTCTTCTACTTCTAAAACTGTATTTCAGCTAAAAATAACTCTAAAACATTATTTCGGTTTGAAAGCCATTCTACTAAGGCTATTGTTATATTTAGCTGCTTTCACCAGTTTCCCCTTATTTAAGTGTAAGGTTCTTCATGCAATGTCACTCCAAGTACTCTAACACAAGAAAAGCTTTCTAAGATACATAGCATAAATGAAGGAGAGAATTCATTATAACTCACCTCTTAAAAAAGATTTTCTTTGGCTTAAAATATTATTTTCTATTTTTAGTAATTCCTGATCAGATATAATAGAAAAGTATTTTGAGATTTTAGGCAGTGAGTAAAAACACATTTAAAATGTATACCACCGAAGCACTAAAGGGAGTAGAATGAAATGAAATCGTCCTTATTCTTTCCAGAGTTAATCTGGATTCAGTGAGCCATGTGAATTCATGAGAAGATGTATTACTTCATTGAGGCATTGTGAAGAACATCAGAGTTATGGGAGATTCCGCACATAAATCCCTTTTCTCATTTCCCCCAGTATCCTTTGAAATGCAGCTTCGTCCCTGGAATCCCAGAATGCTGAATGGAATGATGTGGCTTTGCCATTATAGTGGCTTTGCTTTAAGCAGCAGCTAGCCATACTAAGCAAGAAAGGTTGCATCTGTAAAAAAAATGTAAATTTCCAATTATTGGAGCTGAGTCAGTTTTATAAACTTTCCAAATCTAATCTGTTACTCTACCTTCAAAGTAGAATGTTTATAAAGAGAAAATAAATTCATTTAAAATATTGGGCTCACATTGCTTTCCAGTGTGGCCAACCATTTCTTGAACCCTTAACTTTATATATATATATTTTTTTGACAGAATTATAAATTGAGGTACACGTAGGGGTTCTCTTTTCTGCTGGTGGGATTCTTCTTTATGTCCCAAGAATTCCCATTCTTCCATAGTTTAAATAATAGATAGGTCCTTCTATTGTAAAGCATTCTGATGAAGAAAGGAACTGGCAGTAATGTTACTTGTAAGTAAGTTTTTTCTCTCGATAGGAATCTAAGAAAATTAAGTTTTGTTTTGTACATGGAAAGCATTTTGCTCAAGAAATTTAATTATACCTGGTACACAACAAAACGTAAGTATTTACTATTAGGTATTAGATGTTTAAGGGGTGTGCTGTTGAAAACTTAGCCATGTCTTAAGAGTTGACCATACTATCATGTCTTACTAATCTTGGTGAAAATTTGGTCTGCTTTTGTTACTCTTCAAACCTGCATTATAAACAAAAAAATTAAGGCCTTCTTTTCAGGTCTCTTCTACGCAACTCACTTATGAGATTTTTCTTTTTTGTCTTAGATATCTTTATTATGTTTTAAAATGAAGGCAAGAATTAAGGATGAGCTTTACTTACTGATGTTTTGGGAATAGGAAAAAATAGAAATGTGTTGTTCATAAGGAAATTAGAGCTTTTGTTTAAAGTTTGACCTTTGAGTTCTTTCTTCCCATTTCCTTGTTTTAATTCAAACCACATATTCAATTCTCAACTCCTTGTTTTTAGGTGGTTAGCCAACGTTTCCCTCAGAACAGCATCGGTGCAGTAGGAAGTGCCATGTTCCTCAGATTTATCAATCCTGCCATTGTCTCACCATATGAAGCAGGCATTTTAGATAAAAAGCCACCACCTAGAATCGAAAGGGGCTTGAAGTTAATGTCAAAGGTGAAGAATTATTTTGATAATCTGTTTTAAATTTCTCTTTCAACTAAAATTTTAGAGTTTCATATTCACTGTGCTTCCTCTTGAGTTTATGTTCGAAACACCCTATGGTTTTCATTTCTTTGCTTTTTTTTATTTTTGTCTATATTATAAAGGAATTCATTAGACTGGTACCTGGGTATTATTATCAATTGGATAATTGGTCATATTGGAAATTCTGAAATGGAGACCAAAATGTGTACTGTATGTTTTTTTTGTTAAAAAATACATTAAAATTTTTAATATTCATTTTTATGTATGTAAATATTTGCGTGCATGTATAATAATTATATTTGGGGAAGAATAGGAACAACTAGTATTTATAGAATGAGGAATAATTGATTTTTAACCACCAGTAGAAATTATATCAATGACAAAATTCATGTTTTTTAATGAACATACAAATGTGTAGACTTCATTCAGTAAATAATCTGACTCTTCATTATGTTGTTTCATTGTCTAGATACTTCAGAGTATCGCCAATCATGTTCTCTTCACAAAAGAAGAGCATATGCGGCCTTTTAATGATTTTGTGAAAAGCAACTTTGATGCAGCACGAAGGTAAGCAGCCTGCTATTTAGCTGATTCTGTTTGAGTCAAATATTTTCAGTTTCACGTCAGTCCGTATATTTGTGTAGGGTTTTTTCTTTTCCCTCTGTAGGTCCAGAACATAGTTAATCTTATTTTGCTATAAAAGACAGCGATGAAGTAAATCCATATTCTTTATAATTTGGTAGTGATTTCTGTGTTTCAAAACCTGAACGGATTTTTGAAATATTACTAAAATAAAAGATTTAAGGGTACTATATTATGGAGCAGAGGAAGAAGGAAAAGATTCCTTTTAGTAAAAACACACACACACACACACACACACACACACACACAAAAACAACTGAAACCAAAATGGTTCATATAGATAATGCATAACTGTAAAGTCACAATTTTTTGATGTTAGAATATTTTTGATACTTCAACTTGGAAGTGTATCTGAACTAAAACATTACTCTTTCAACCAAATAATGCAGATGTATACAATTTTATTCATAAGTAACTGAACAACTGTTGAACGTTTATGATTTTAGAAAACATGAGGTCTTTTAGAATTCCGTAACTAAATAGTTGCTTTCTGTTTATCTCTGAGTTGTTGTTTTATCTGAAACTAGGGATTATATTTTATTTGCCTGTCTGAGTTGATTTTAGAGAAACAAATGAGATAGTTTATGAGAAAAGGCTTTATAAATGCAAGTTAATGTCCAGAATTCTACCTTTCCTGCAACTCTAGTTATCTGATGCACAGTTTAAGCTCGACTGTGCAACTCTCTTCCAATTTTTCCATTATACTTTATACCAACTTCTTTCTAATTGGAGTTTAAAAGGTATGTTGTTTGACTGCAAACTATATTGGGGAAAAAGTGAAGGTCAGTCTAGGATTCATAGTCTAGCTAGCAGATTGTTCATAGAAAGTTAAGAGCCAAGGCCCTGAGCCTGGCTGTGGCCTAACAGGTGATATGATTTGGGAGAGGTCTTTTGTCTTATCTGGGCCTCCATTTCCTTATGTGTAAGCTACTGGCTTCTCTCCAAAGCCTCATCCATCTAAGCTTTGTTTTTGTCTGACTTCAGAGCCTACTGTGAAGCTGGAGGCAGGGATCAGAAAGAGAAAACCAAATTTTTCATTGTCCCTTTTCTCATGTAATGACAGTCACATGTGAATAAGCCCTCAGGATTTGTAATCTCAGTTACTTCATAAAGTTGCTTTATATAAATTTAATTCAGATATAGATATGAGTGTATCTGGTTTTTAAAATTCTAATGATTTTGTATTTTTGAAGGTTTTTCCTTGATATAGCATCCGATTGCCCTACAAGTGACGCAGTAAATCATAGTCTTTCCTTCATCAGTGATGGCAATGTGCTTGCTTTACATCGCCTACTCTGGAACAATCAAGAGAAAATTGGCCAGTATCTTTCCAGCAACAGGTAAGATTTCCCAATCATGGGCATATTGAAAATTCTATTTAAGTCTATAGTATATTTAAATTTATATTAATAAAATTATTGGTCATGAATAATACTTTTTACTTTGCATCATCTTAGAATTAGAATTGTGGTTTGGAAAAAAGAAATGTAGACACTTTCTAAAAATATCTAGGCAAAAGAGTAAGTCATGTTAAATGATCAACAAGCTACAGAGGTTTTTTTAAAAAAATGTTAAGCTAAAAAACAACAAATTTTAGCCCTTTGGGTTTTGTGGTTTGCAAACTATCACACATAATGTGCTTTGAGACAGAAGTTTAAATTTACTAGAAGATCAGTGAGTATTAGTATCTGAGGAGCAGATACAAAAGAATTACAAAACATACTACAACAGAAATCCATGTCTACACTTAGCTTTAACACTCATTTTGCTGTATTACTTTAGATCTTTATATTTTATTTCTTGGGGGAAAAGATATTTCTTTCTATATAACTGACAAAATAAAGAAATGATAGGTACATATGTCATAAATATAAAAATTTTTATGTGTTTTCAAATTTTATAGAAACATTGAATATAGTCTCTTCACACAATATTCTATTTGATGTGTCTTATTTAACTTATGTTAATATTTCATTGACTGACTACATCAATTTATTTTTTGCATTTCCTAGTTGATGGATACTTAAGTTTGTTTCATGTTTTTCACTATTTTAAATAGTGTTGTAATAAAGAATTCCATACTTGTTTCCTGTGTATTATCTAGATGTATAATTGCAGCATTCTGGGGTATACAGTCTCACCACATTGCTGATTTCAAAGTGTACATGCTAATCCACACTTTTGCCAGCACTGTATGAGAGTACCTCTTTATACACATTCTCACCAATGTTTGGTATTAGCAGATTTCATTATTTTTTATACCAGTTTGATGTTTGTGAAATAGTATCTTATTATTCTTATATAGTTTTAAGTATTTAATAGTTATTGAAAATCCATATTTACCCTGGTTAAGCAGAAATAAATATTAGGGATAACATGGATTATTTTTATCCTGAGAAAAAGTGGATCAGAAGGTTACTTTTACTTACTAATTGCCCACTTAATGGTAATAGATTAAGAATACTAGAAAAATAAGAATTGTTTATGTAAATTTTATAGTTTGGGAGTGGTTCTATTTCTAAGAGGTCTCAGGGTATAACTTATAACCCCTGACATCTTTTTGGTGCTATTCACAAATCAGTAGAAACCCCCAGCTGACAGTGGAAGAAAAGGCAATGAATGACATTCTAAAGAAATATGTACTGCTAAATGTGAACTGCTCCATTTTTCTAAGCAGTTTGTTATATCTAGGGATCACAAAGCTGTTGGAAGACGACCTTTTGATAAGATGGCAACGCTTCTTGCATACCTGGGTCCTCCAGAGCACAAACCTGTGGCAGATACACACTGGTCCAGCCTTAATCTTACCAGTTCCAAGTTTGAGGAATTTATGACTAGGTAAAGTATCACCTTGATTGCTTTCTTTTTGGTTGAGGTGCAAGGTTTACTACTAGGCCAGCTGTTCGATATGCTTATATTTTTGATAGAGAATTATCAGGAAAGATGTACCCAATAACTACATTTCCATGTTTTGGGATTTAACTTTTTTCTTACCTTTTATATTGTTGAAATATGCTTCGTTTTGATTTTCTTATAAAAATAATAGTATCCTTTTGCATAGTACTTTGTCATGTTGCTTTGAGGTGTTGTGCATTAATACTTATAAAAGAGTGTGGATAACATTATTTTCATATTATAGTTAAAGAAAATACAATAATATTGTAGTAACTATTTATGGGGTCAGGTGGGTACTTGAAATATTTGGGGAACCACTTTGTAAAGTATATGATTATCTACTCACTATGCTATACACCTGAAACTAAGATAGAATAATATTGAATGTAACTGTAATTGAAATATTAAAAAAATATATATAGCTCAAAATGAACAACTAGTTTGCCCAAGATTCCACATCTAATTCTTAGATGCTTTGGTTCTAAGTGCTGAATTCTTTATACCACACTGCAACATTTTTCAGAACCCTCCTAAAAGTTAATGGTATTTAAATTGAGGCTCAGAAAATTAGTATACTTCAATATTGCTATAAGATTTTACATATAATGTGCCTTGCATTGTAAGTGTCTGTTACTAATTATATTACATACACAGTAATTCTCCCTTGTCCACAGTTTAGCTTTCCATAGTTTCAGTTACTTATGGTCAAATGTAGTCTGAGAGCACTAAATGAAAAATTCCTGAAATAAATAATTCCTAAGTTTTAAATGATGCGTTGTTCTGAGGAGTGGGATGAAATCTCATGCTGTCCCGCTCTGTCTTTCCTGGGATGTGCATCATCCCTTTGTGTAGTATGTCCGCGCTGTATATCTGCCTACCTGCAGGTCACTTAGTAGCTGTCGTGGTCATCAGATAAACTATGCAGTGCTCATAGTCAAGTACCTTTATTTTACTTAATAATGAACACAAAGGCATTCACATGGGTTTTATTACAATATGTCATCATAACTGTTCTATTTTATTATTACTTATTGTTGTTTTCCTCATACTGTGCCTGATTTATAAACAACTTTATTATAGGTGTGTGTGTATAGGAAGAAACAATAATATATATATAGGGTTTGGTACTATTTGTGTTTTCAGGCATCCACTGAGGGTCTTGGAATGTGGGGGAGTTACTGTAGGTCATAATTCTTTCTGTACACATAACTTCAATTCTTTGATATTGTTGAAAAATGTATGAATTCATAACAATCTCCTTTCTAGCTTAATGTTTATGTTTAGCTCTGTTATATTGTTCTCAGTGTAACAAATATTTATTTCTATTAATTAAAATGAATATTTTCCACACAAAGCTTTCATATTGCCTTATTGAAAATTACATAATGCGAAAATATAAACCTATTTTTTTATTCAGTATTTCTTAGGATGTCCTAGCTATTTGTCTAAGGAAATGTCATTACTCCTTTTACCTAAGACCCAACCTTCCATTACAAACAATCTTCTGTGCTTTTGATGACTAAATGATTTAATATGTGTAAGATACTTAGAACAGTGTCTGATATACTATATATAAAATACTTTAATAAATGTTAGTTATTATTGCTCTCTTCTAAGCTCCCATTAATGCTCTTTAAGACCCATTTTTCTGCCGAAACCGGTTTGGCTCAGTGGATAGAGCGTCGGCCTGCGGACTGAAAGGTCCCAGGTTCGATTCCGGTCAAGGGCATGTACCTGGGTTGCGGGCACATCCCCAGTGGGGAGTGTGCAGGAGGCAGCTAATCGATGTTTCTCTCTCATCGATGTTTCTGACTCTCTATCTCTCTCCCTTCCAATCTGTAAAAAATCAATAAAATATATTTAAAAAAAAAAAAAAGACCCATTTTTCTTTTTTTTAAATGAGGGTAGCTTTATAATTTTCTCAACTATAAACATAAAAATTATTAAATTATTTAAAACAAATCTAAAGAAAAATGTTAAAAATTTTTGTTGCTTTGCCTTTTAGAGATAATTCAGTTAACATTTGGCAAATACAGTGGGGCCTTGACTTACGAGTTTAATTCATTCCAAGACCGAGCTCGTTAAGGAGCTTGTTAAGGAGCTTGTTAACTCAAATTACTTTATCAACTCAATGCAAAAAATCAACTGAGAGACAGCTGGTATCTCAAAAAACTCATTAGTCGGGACACTCGTAAATCAAGGCCCCACTGTAGTCTCCCAGTCATTTATACACATGTGTATCTATTGCCCTTACCAAATGATATCTAGGTTGTTTCCATTAATATTAAACAAATGTTAACCTGGTACCAGCAACATTGTGGAATGAGATAATATAACTTACCCTCTCTCTCATGCCCCAGATACAAGACACATAGAAATATTAGGTAAAAGAAAATATATTTTTAAAATAAAATAATTTTTATTATTATTTTATTTTCTGGAAGATAATTTCTGAGCAAATGAACTAGCATCCAGTCAGGGCAGAAACATAAAGAAATGGAAAATATGAAAGACGTTAACAGAGGTTAGGTGATAGGATAGGAAGGTCCAATGTGCCTAGTTGGTGTTTCAGAAATAGAGCTTAGAGAGAATAGTGAAGAGGTGATATTTGAAGAGACAACAGATGAGAATTTTCCAAGGTTAGTGAATGACATAAATTGCAGGTTAAAGACACACACTGAGTGTTCAGTAGAATAAATAAAAAATAAATCATGATTTTTTCAGAAATAAATCCACATGGGAATTTAATATATGATAAAAGTGGTATTCAGAATCAGGCAGATTAGAATGGACTGTTAATAAATGGTGGTGATACAACTGAGTAACTATCTGGAAAAAGATGCGCAATACCAGTCGTGAGAATCAACTCCCATGAGGAAGAAAATATGGGCAAAGGAAGGCCTTTCTCACTCATTCAAAATCAATAAACCAGAAAAGAGTTGATAAACTGAACTCTTAAAAATCAATAAATGAATACTCAAAAGCTTCTTTCTGGAAAAAAAAATACCATGATTGAAAACAATTGTATGGTAAATGTCCTTGTCCACTAGTTTTCTTAGGGTAGTCCCGAGAACTACTCTTTGTTGTTCAAAGAGTGACACCTTGAAAATTTTGGTACATGTTGTCAAGTTGCCCTTCAGAGAGAGGGAGAAAGACACCTATCTACTTCTCTTAATATTTTGTCATTTTGCATATTTTATCATTGGTCTGATTATAGATTTTCCTAAGTACTCAATGGACAATATAAAGCCTATGACTCACTCTGTTCTTTTTTTTTTTCTTGCAGGCATCAAGTACATGAAAAAGAGGAGTTCAAGGCTTTGAAAACATTAAATATTTTCTACCAAGCTGGAACTTCCAAAGCTGGGAATCCTATATTTTATTATGTTGCACGAAGGTAAGAAATACTATGTTGTAGTTTCTCTTAACAGAATTTTTAAAAATGATAGCAAATGTAGAGAGACAGCAAGTTTGGTTTTCCCCATTTGACTTTACTAGATTGAAAACAAGTTTACCTGGGAGAATATAGCTGGGTAAATAGCCAACCTGCCCCAAAATGATGCTCAATGTATTAGAAATTGCTTTTTATACTACCTATTTTATATTGGCTTCTTTTTCCTATCAGTTTAAAAAAAATGTTTTTATTGATTTTAGAGAAGAAAGGAGAGGGAGAGCGATAGAAACATCAATGATGAGAGATAATCATTAATCGGCTGCCTTCTACACGCCCCTCACTGGGGATCGAGCCCACAGCCCATGCACACCCCTTACTGGGGATCGAGCCCACAGCCCATGCACACCCCTTACTGGGGATCGAGCCCACAGCCCATGCACACCCCTTACTGGGGATCGAGCCCACAACCCAGGCATGTACCCTGACCGGAATCCAATCGTGACTTCCTGGTTCAACCACTGAGCCACACCACCTGGGCTCTACATCAATTTTTTTATACTACCTACAGTGGAGTAATTACCAAGAGTAAAAAAATCATAAAGAATCTTATGTTTTCAGGTGTATTCTGAGTAAACAATATCCACAACATGATAATCTGACTTTTTTTTAAAGCAGAAATGAATTTTTTAAGTGTCTTTCTGAGAATTTTTAGTAATATGCTGAATAAGACAGCATCAGTGTGATTTAACAAATGATTCAGAGAAGCTGTGGGAAATTTCTCTAAAGACAGCATAGGTGACAGCTTGGAAAATTGATTGTTTATTCATGCTGTCTTCAATTAAAGCTAGTTCCGAGAAAGCTTTTATGGAAATGATGTGAACTCCTTAACAAGAGGTATGATGCTTGCATTGCTTCCTCTTCCATTGTTTTTTCTTTCTGCTTCATTCTGTCTTTTGAGAACTCATCTGTGACATTATTTGACCAGTTTTACTTTTTCCCATTTAGCATGACATAGACTCATGATTAATTGAACCTTAGAGACAATGTGATGTAATATCTTCACCTTCCCATGAAAGTCTTCTCTCCAACTTCATCTCAGTTGCTGTGTCTAAACTGTTTAGGGTAATTTATTCTTTTTATAATTGAGATGAACCATATTTATATTCTAACCTAATCTTCAATATGAGTAGTGTATTTTTTGACTTTCCCTAATTTGGCTAAATAATGAAAAGTAAAACATTGGTATGAGAGGTAAATAGATGTGTGTCCTCCTCTCTCTTACTAGTTTATAAGTAGCAAGGTTTCTCAGAAACCTCAAAACAAGGTATTTTCTTCAGGATCAGATACTGTAAGATTATGTCCCTTCTCTATAATGATCTGGAAAGGCCAAATGAAGATAGGATGGGCCTGATGCATACACCCTCTGGGGTTAAATCAGTGGGATTTCCAGGAAACCTATCTAATATGGTGACTTGAGGGTGCTGAGGATTCCCAGCTGTACTGCTTATTAGCTGTATAATCATAGGCAGCAGAGTCATATTGAAAAACAAACAAAAAAATAAGAAAAATCAAAGAAAACCTCAAATATACTCTGTACAGAATTTTATAGGTCACAAAAACTTCATGGGAGAGGCAGACAGGAAACTATGAATCTGCTGCCAATTTTAGATTTCAATCCTTTCATTTTTTTCCTTAGATCTAGAGCTCTTCCTGGCCTCATTTTCACCTGGTGGGGAGCCCTTGCTCCAGGACAGAAGAGCACACCGTGGCTTCCTCCACTGGACAAGGCCACATTGTAATGAGGGCCTTGTCTCTGTACAGCTAACTTGTCAGAGAATACTTGGGTTCTCTTTTGCTATTGCTATGATTCTGTGACCTAGACTACCATGTATTAGTCTTTTGAGCTGTGGATTTCAGTGTCCTTACAGATAGTTCACAGACATTTCAGACTTCTAATGTCCAAAACTTAATTCACTGTTATTTAAATCAACTTCTTCACACCATATTCTCTTTCTCAATAACATCCCCATCTCTTCCCATTCTAGAACCCTAGTCATGTAAAATGCTTCCCTCTTTCTTTTATCTTCCTCACTATCAGTTACTACATTTTAATTTTAGAAATGAGATCATGACAAATCAATTAAGTTGTTTTAGTTAGGCCTTTACTATTGCAAAGAAGCCATTCTCTTGAGATGATAGGCCTCAGAGAACACATGCATTAAGTAGATTCTGGGGGAAAAAAAGTGGGGGGGGGGGCAGATTCTGTCCACGTGGAGGCAAAACTGGCTGTCCGTCATGCTCTTTAACTCTCTCTTGACTTCACATTCAACTCTGCATCGTGACTTTCCTCTTTATGTATCCTTTCAGCCTCAGTGGTGAAGCTAGTCCTACCTGAATTGCATGAACTGAAAAGAGAAGATTATGGAGCAGGGTTTCCCATAGGAAAGTTGGATTGCCGATATCAGAATGAGGAAAAATGGGTTCTATGCTGGCAAAAGTAACAGAAGTCCTCTAATGACCCAGAAGCACGATTCTGACACATACAGGGTGCAGAGTAGTGTGTGTGTGTATGTGTGTGTGTAATGTGTACAGACTGAGCAATAATTAAATAATGCTCACATTATCTCAGGGGAGTCTGTTTGGAGGAGGTAGAGAACCATTTATAATATTTCTGTTATATATCTCTGTACTGTTAGACTTGTTGCCAAGAGCACATATTATTTTGTAAGAATAATCTATAATAATAAAAGTGTAATATGCTAATTAGACCAGATGTCCTTCTGGACGACCTTCTGGATGAAGCCGGGGCTGCAAGGGAAGCCAGGGTCCCGGGTGCCTGCTGGCAGCCAGAGGGAAGCCCGGGTCCTGGGTGCCAGAGGGAAGGCAGTGCCGGCAGCCGGGGGAAGGAGGGCCTACTCTTGCATGAATTTCATGCATCGGGCCTCTAGTTAAAAATATAAAACTTAAAAGTTACAGTGAAGAGTCTTCCTCTTGAACACTGAAATGCCTGGCAATTGCTTCTTGGGTGGTGGTAGTAATAATAATAGCTAACATTTACTGAGTGCTCTCTCTCTGCATCAGACAAACTATGCATATTATATAATTTTTCATTTAACCCTTACAGTAACTTTCTGAGGTATTGTTAGTAACAGTGATTGACATGTATATAAACTGAAACTTAGAGCAGTTGCTAGTCATTCCCAAACCTAGCTATCAGAGTGCCTAGGAGAATTCAAACAAACAAACATTTCCCTGGCCCTACTTCGGGTTGCCAAATCAAAATATCAAAGGTAGAGCCTAATCTGTATATTTTAACAGGCACCCCAAGTGATCCATTTGTAATCAGTTTATTATCGAAGTTCGTTTGGGAATCCCACCGGTTTATGTATTTAACTCATGGTAGCACAACTAGTAAAGAATCAGAGTTGGGTTTCAAACCTTTAAAACTACACTGTTAATAGGGTGGTTATTACCACTTAAAACTCAATACTAGGTTTGGGGGTTAGATTAACCTTAGTAGAATAGCATGAATTCTGAATTCTAGGCATCTGATTTACAAATGACCTTTTGAAATACAAAACAAAGGTTTACCCAAAGCAAGAGAATCTTTTCATTGGAGCAGCTGACATAATGCATTACAAAGATTAGCAGAATAACTATCATTTTTATTGTAATAACATATTACTATTATACATTCATGAAATATAGTGACACAGGTGTACTGTTTCATAGAGCACTGAAAAAATAAAATAATATAAGAACAATACACATTACTCTTCATCCCCTACCTCCTTTCCTCTCACCTACACAGAAGCATACTTTGGTTAAACACCAACATCATTTCTTCTCTTAGGCCTTTAATGCAAAGATCTAATTTTCAGTTCAGTTTTGCAAACATTGGTATTTTGTGCTTTTTAAAAGCATTTATAAGGAAGGAAGCCATATTAAAGTAATAATTAAGCTTACACAATTAAAATTTGCAAAACAACTAAATTAAGCTAGGATAATGATAATTTCCTAGAAGGAAGTTGAAATAAATTTGATTTTCTTACTGTGCAGATAATAAAGAACTGAGATAGGAATGCAGACAGTTCAAGTCCACTTAAGCTTCATTGCACACAAAACAGCAAAAGTATTACATAGAAGAGAAAGTGAATATTGTCCTTTGGATTCAGTGTGGTGCCACCACTTTCCACAGTCATCTTCATGGTGGTGGGTATCTTTGAGGTCACTGATGTTTTCAGCGTTGTCTTGGGCTTTGAGGTTGTCTTGGGCTTTGAGGTTGTCTTGGGCTTTGAGGTTGTCTTGGGCTTTGAGGTTGTCTTGGAATTTGGGTTTGTCTTAGAATTTGGGCTCATCGTGGGATTCAGAGACATTTGGAAATTTGAAGTTGTCTTGATATTCGGGTCTGTCTCAGTATTCGGGCTTCTTCTGAGATTTGAGGTCATTTGAAAATTTGTGGTTGCCTCAGAATTCAAACTCATCGTGGAACTCGAGACTTCCATGGAACTTGAGGTAGTTAATGTCTCCGAAGTGTTACCAAGCGACAGAAGGCAAAGGCTAATAAGTGATACCTTGAACATCATTTTCCTGTTTAAAAATATGTACAGAAATTTAGTCTAAGACTTGGATCACAAACAAATTTAAGAACTAGCTTTGTTTAAAGTGGAGAAAAATGAAGGAACCTTCTTCCCATCACTGGGGAAATGCCACCATTTTGGTTCATTTAGAAGTGACCAAAATCAACCCTTACATTTTACAAATGGGCTCAGAGAGAAAAGCATATCCTCCGAGGATGCATATCTAAAAATGGCCAGAACTTGAACTTGAATCTGTGTCTTAGACCAGTGTATTTTAGAAGCGAACTGTGAAGACATAGTACAGACATACACCAAAAGTTTAATAGTGAGCCCTTTTTAAATTAAGGCTAATTTCCTTTTAGCCTGTATTTGCATCTAATGGCTTGCCACAATTGAGATAATGCAACTGGCCCATGTTGAGCA